ATTGGAAAGAAACGTTAAAGGTAGTCAAATGCAAGTAAAGAAAATAGAAGAATTTCCTTTTTGAAATGAAAATAGATGAAGCATGCAACTAATATCCTACCAGTTCACCTCATAAATTAATCATCATTTGTTGATGAAAATGCAAACAAATCAACATAAATCATTCAAAAAAAAGTGAAAGTAATAAATCAAACCTCGAAGGAGAGGAGGAATCGAAGCTGTAACGAGTTGAGGAAGCATTGGCATCACGGTCGAAAGAGGGAGGAGAAGAAGACAAAGATGAAGGAGAAGAAACGGAGGTAGCAATGGGAGAAGCAGTAGAAGATGAGGGTAAACCGATCTTTTCCTTGATTTCCTTAAGCAATGATGCCCATTTCATCGTTTTCCCGTTCGATCCTTGAATCATTCACATGCGCCTCCCTCCTCTCATCCTACGCCGCTGCTGCAAGCACCGTATCATCACGTTCCAGAAATCTCGTCGACAATCATTCTACCTCCAATTATTCCCCCCAACCAATACGACAACTCCAAACAGAAAATTAAAACCAAAGCAATTCAAATCAAAATTTAGAGAATGAAATAATTAGAAATTCAAATGAAACCATGTGAATACAGCTGAAAAAATCAATTAACATATCAATCCGATTAGCATGAAGCTTCAAAGCATGACTTCGCGAATAATCTATATATTTTTCTTTTTTCTTCTACTTTCCTTTTGTCGTCTCAATTGTTTTTCTAATTTTCAAATTTGCAGTCGTTTTTTCTTTTGAAGAATATGTGATTTTTTTAACCCTAAAACAGAGGAGAACTTACAATAAAACGAGATTTCGTTTTGGAAAAAGAAAATGGTGATCATCGTCATCTATCAAAATGACTCTCTCTCTCTCTCTCCTCTGGTTTTTTTGGACGGCCACTTCGCGCCTTTTTTCTCGCCGTGTATGTCTTTCCTTGCAGCCTTTTTTTTTTCTCTCGTTCATAAAATTATAATTTTAAATTTTCATAAGCCCATTACACTAAAAATCTATATTCCATTTTGTTTATTTCTTACTATCTATACAATTAAAAAATATAATTATTAAATATATTCATAAAAAATCTATGACTTTTTCTTATTTTTAAAATTAAATTTAATCACTTTTTAAAATTATCCCTATTTTATTTTTACTATATTTCGATAATTTCAGTACTAACCAATTGATTCGTTTGGTGATTAAGAGACTATTTTTTTCTTGATGTTTGATGTTCAAGTATTATATTTTATATGTTCTAATAAAACTCTCAATCATCTAACATTGAACACTCATACCCTTAATATTCATGGTATTCGAATTCGATACTTCAAGGAATAACATTAATTCTTTTATCACCGATGTCGATTGATTGGTGTTTTACTTTATATTCACCTCGTAGTAATAAGAAAATATTTTTGGTAAATTTAAATACATTTTATTTAAGGTAAATCATGCGTTTAGTACATAAACTATTAGTTTTGGTCCGTTTTAGTACTTAAACTTTTAATTTTTTTTCTAAATCATACATAACGTTTAGTTTTTGTTTTATTTTCGTACCTCACCGTTAAAAACTCAACGACACTACATTTTTGTATGGGTAAATTACATCATTTATCACTCAATTGTCTTCTCACTCCTATTTTGGTACTAAAATTTAAAAAAAAAATGAATTTAACTACTCAACTTTCAAATTGCTCCTATTTTAATAACTCTAATTTATTTTATTAATATTTTTTCTAAATTTACTTTTTTATTATTTTATTAATATATAATTAAAAACAAAAAAATTGAAATTTAGAGTGATTAAATTAGGAGTAATTTGAAAGTTAAGTAATTAAATTGAAAAAATTAAACTTTAGAGGCCAAAATAGGAGTGAGAAGATAGTTGAGTGATGAATTATGCAATTTATCCATAAAAAAAGTGTCACGTGCAAATCATCTATTAAGTATGGTTTTGAAAAAAAATAAAATTAGGTACTAAAACGAATCAAAATTGATAGTATAGGTACTAAACGCATAATTTACTCATTTATTTAATGTCTATTTTCGTTTAGTTATGAATAAAAATAATTTAGTAGTGAAATATATGTTTAAAAATAAGGATGATGATGTCACGCTCGACGAGCACGAATGAGTACCGTTAATGATGAACATCATTAAATTAATTTATAAAATATTAAATTATAAAGTACTAAACGTATAATTATAAACTAGTTAGAAATTTAAATATAATTTAATTAAAATACAATATTTATAAAGCATTAGAAACTATGAAAATAAATTAAGGTTTATAAATTTCCCAAATTAATATTTGATCTAATTATAATTAAAATAAAATTATAAAAACTAATATTTTATAATATAGTATTTTAATTAAATCACATTTAGATTTTTAACCAATTTATAATTATACATTTAGTACTTTATAATTTAATATTTTATATATTAATTTATTGGTGTTCGTCATTAACGATGTCTATCCACGCTCGACGAACATTTTAAAACTTTTCTAAAAATAAATATAATGATTGAAGTAATCTAAAATTTAAAAAATATATTAAATAGAAAATTGTATATAAAATATATAGTTTACAAGGGAATGCTAAATTGCAAATACTGTTTCTCAATCCCCACATATGATTGAATGAATTCCAAAGCCAAATCTCCATCTAACACGTGTATATGTCATAATTAAGAATTGGATAAACTACCAACGGTCGCTGAAGTTTGAATAAACTTTTATTTTCATAATTAAAGTTCAAAAATTAACAAAACAATTACTAAGATTTTTTATTTATAACAAAATAGTCTCCCACAGTCACTCTTATAAAAAAATCGATTTATCACGTTTGGACAATTGAGGTGGCATCGTTTGGCCACATCATACTATAATTGAATGACCCTTTGTTTGAAAAACAAAAAATTTAATTTTTTAAAATTTTATAAACCCTAATTTTAAGGAAGAAACATATAGAAAACAAGATGATGATGATGAACAATATAATGAAAGGATAAGTAGTCTGAGTACTAATTGAATTTGAACACTTGAAGTTACAATTTACCCAATTAAATCATTTGGGAAAGCATCCTAGCATAACGAAGATAGAAAGATATATAATAAAAACAACAACGACATCACTTGGCTTTATAATGGCTGCAAATTAAATTAGTTTAATATTTAGTTAATACTTAGAAATTTCTCCACCATTTCAAGTTCCAACCTAATGTGTGGTACCCATAAGTTCTCTTTTGTCAAAATTATATATATATATAATCATCTTTTCTTTCTAAAATTATATGCATATGCAACCATTTGTCCTTTTTTAAAAAGAAAAAAGAAAAATAATATTTGTCCTTTGAATGGTTTTAGTATGGTGGATGGAAAAGTTTCAACCAATGTTTAACATGTTCCATAATTTTGGAGTTTGATTTGTATGTTTGTTCTTTTGTTTCGTTGATGAATTTTACATCTATGTTTACCATGCAGTTGCTTATGTTTTCTGTGGTCAGGTATAGGGGTGTAAACGAGCCGAGTCGAGCTCGAGTATTGCTGAGCTCGACTCGACTCGAAAACTTTGAAATGAAGCTCGACTCGACTCGAAAACTCGCGAGCTTAAAATTTTCAAGCTCGACTCGAACTCGAAATCCTAAACTGAAGCTCGAAAAGGCTCGAAATGAAAAAAAAATATTAAACTTAACTCGATTGAAGCCTCAAACTCAAACTCAAACTCAAACTCGAACATGAACCTTAAATACAAGAAATCTTACTGTATTTTTTTTATAAAAAAATCAATACATAAATATTAATATTATTAATAATTTATTTCTAAAAAATAAAATCTTAATATATTATATTTTCAAGCTGCTCACGAGCTTTTCGAGTCGAATATCGAGTAGCTCGTTTTGGCTCGTTAAGAACTCGAGTCGAGCTCGAGTCGAGTCCATTCGATCTGAGTATTTATCGAGCTTTGATCGAGTCAATCTCGAGTAGCTCACGATCTGTCTCGTCTCATTTACAGCCCTAGTCAGGTAATGGTTTAGCATGTCGAATGATTTGGTATCTCAATAGTTGTGAATGTTTGGTAGCCAAATGGCTCAGCTGGAACCAATTTTCAATAATTTGGATGTATAGTCTAGTGACATATCTATAAATATTTTTTTAGATAAACATATATATATATATATATATATATATTAATAACACAAATTTTGCTTGTAGATTAATACAAATAAAATCTTAGAATAAGTACAATCATAAAATAAATAACTACTTGAAGAAAATTTAGATTTTAAAGTAATTGATAATAACTAACATCTACTAATGTATCTCTAGAGTTTCTCGAAGCTTCCAAAGTTTTATATCCTCCATCAAACTATGAACTAATGATGTGACCACTTGTAAACCCATGTGATATATTTACAGTTATGTCTATTCATTCATCAACCTATCGGGCATCGACTATTAGGAGATAAAGAAAATCGTTTATCATCTTCACTAGATCATCGACAGTATAGATGCAAATCATGATTCTCTACCCAAATAAAAAAATGAATAGTCCAAAAATATAACAGAATGTTACCTTCAACTATTTAATTTACAAAGTTGAATAATAAAAATATTTAGAAAATTTATATTATTAAATTATGCATCTAACTAGTTGAATAATTAACAATTTACTTGCTCAGTTTTCCCATAAATCGATTTAAATGGTAAAAAAAAAATATTATTGTTATTTAAAATTTCAAATTCGATCACCATAAATATAAAAATAAACATCAAATAGTTAAAAATTAACTTTAAAGAAATAGCACCTTCTGCTTACCTTATATTAATATTTGCTCAGTTTGACCGGATCGAAGACAGTTGTATGAAGAAAAACTGAAAAAAGTGTTTATATTAAGCACGTTAGTTGTTTGTTTTTAAGCCGTCTACCTTTTATCATTTTCTTATTCCCGCACGTGTCAGCATTGACCATTTACAAATCAACCGAACAACAAACCTAAAATTGAAAATTCTAGACCCCAAAAAATCCAGCCCTAAGTTTGCAGCACTTTCAATTCATTCCTTTCAAATCCCAGATTTTGAATTGATTTCTAAGATTCTTAGGACGATGTGGAATCAGGCGTACCGGAAAATTGATGATGAGGAGGCAGGAGCTAGGCCTTTGTATCCCATGATGCTAGAGCCGCCGGAGATGAGATGGGCTTTTATCCGGAAAATTTACTCAATCGTTGCCATCCAATTGCTGGCCACAATCGCGGTTGCCGCCACAGTGGTTACTGTCCGTCCGATCGCTCATTTCTTCGTCAGCACTGGGGCTGGCCTTGCTCTTTACATAGTCCTCACCATCACGCCTTTCATTGGTATACTTCTGCTTTTGCCTTTCCCCCCTCCATATTAATTTCGTATTTATGACTTTTTGGTTGACTAAACAAAATCGATTTGCTGTTTGCAGTTCTTTGTCCATTGTATTACTATCATCAGAGGCATCCTGTGAACTATCTTCTTCTTGGGGTTTTTACCATTTCTCTGGCGTTTGCAGTTGGATTGACGTGCGCTTTTACCAGCGGTTAGATATGGATTTTTAATCTTTTTTTTCCATTTATAATTAGGGCTAGCTTCTAGTATCGACTATTCTTTTGAATTTTATAGCAATTGTTCTATCTATGAGGCATTAAATTCACATAAAAGCAGTGTGATTTTTGCCTCTTTCTGAATTAGATTAAGGAACTTAAACTGATTATACAGTTAGTACTAAGTTAAATGCTTATTGAATTTTGAAAATGGAGTTTTTGTTAATTAAGGTGTATAAGGGAGTTATTACTCCGTTTATACTTTTAGGGCCAAGACCTCCAATGTGATTGGATGGTATTTCTTGGGGTTTTCTTTCATCTAACTGTATGCATTTTTTTTCTGTTTCTTTCCTTTATGGTCTTTTTTCTCATTTTCCTCCATAGTAGTTGTCTAGCATGGTGATTTCATGTTAGATAGATTATTTGATTATTTTAATATAGTTTCTTCGAAGTTTTTTTTTTTGATAAATAGGAAGGCCTCATTAAAAAAAACACCTTCATATCCATCAAGCAACAAGAGTGTCTCAATGGACATTGGACGGAGGAAAAGAGTGCCTTAAAATTTTATTGCGTAAATACCAAGTACAAGAAGAGTACAATACCACCAAACCCATTGACAACCATCTCAACAATGAGCTACAATACACTACCTAAACACAGCAGTGACCATACCCTACTCAAAAAACTATCTCCTAAAAAGAATCAATAGGTGTTGGAAGATTAAGCAATGGGTATCTGCTGTGTCGTTTTTTCTTGATTTCTTTTTTCTTTTTGTCCAATTTGCGAAAAGAAATTGCTAGTTGTTGCTATTTCTATGGATTTGGATACTGCTGTGGTTTAGCTTAGCATTTGTGACTACTTATCTAATATCATGAGTATTTTGCATCTCAAAAAGTATTTACTAGGAGCTACTTAATTTACTGCATGGTTGGTAAATGCAGTTAATTCCTATCTGGATGCTACTGATTGTACTCTTGCATTAACTAAATTTACGTGCATTTTGTTTGTTGACAGGAAAAGTTATTTTGGAATCTGTGATTCTGACAGCTGTGGTGGTTGTGGCTCTCACCCTCTACACCTTCTGGGCTGCTAGGAGAGGCCATGATTTCAACTTCCTTGGCCCCTTCTTGTTTGGTGCTGTCATTGTTCTCATGGTTTTTGGTCTGATCCAGGTATTTTGATCTTGCCATCTTTATTTAGCTGTTCTTTTCGTATGTCTCTACTGTATACAAGTTTCTGAATTTTCATTGCTGGAATGTGTCTGTCTTCCTGGTTGTAGGTTTTCTTCCCGCTAGGTAAAATATCAGTGATGATCTATGGGTGCTTGGCCTCTGTCATATTCTGTGGTTATATCATATACGACACTGACAACTTGATCAAGCGCTACTCTTATGACGAATATATTTGGGCTGCTATCTCTCTTTATTTGGACATAATTAATCTCTTCCTTTCACTACTCACGTTGTTAAGAGCAGCAGATAGTTGAAGTAAACCCAGTGCCTATAAGCAATTTCTATTCATCGGCAGAAACTTACTGTCATCTTTTTTTCTTTTTTGTGTGGGTGAGTGGGGTGGGTTGGGGAGGGGGGTTGTAGGGTGCATAATGTCAATGACGTAAAAACAAGCAAATATCTATGTTGTAATGCTGAAATACTATCACTGTTAATTGAAATGGAAGATTTCGTCTCTCTTGCATATTTCATTGTGCTTTGTCTCACCTCCTGGAAATTGTACTGGTTTAATGATATAATATAAATAGAATCCATAAAATACAACTCAAATGATTTTGGGATTATATTTTACCATAGCTCAATCAACAAGTTAATGTTCGACTAAGACAACCACTAATTTTTTTAATGGAAAATGATGAATTTGGAGCATATGAATAGTCGGATAATCATTTTGTAACTTTTAATAGTTTAGGTTTTAATAAAATAACTCTCTATAGTTGAAGGATCATTTTGTAACTTTTAATTGTCTGGGGACTCAACAAAGAAATGTCATATAGTCGGGGACCATTTGTGTACTTTACCCTTAAAAGTAATAACGCTTTTATTTTTTGGGTAAACTATGCGTTTAGTATTTAAACTATCAGTTTTGGTCCGTTTTAGTACCTAAACTTTCAGTTTTTTCAAAACCGTACCTAACATTCAGTTTTTGTTTCATTTTAGTACCTTGTTAAAAACTTAACTATAAATTTTGAAAGAAAAATTAAAGTTTAGTTACTAAAGTAAACCAGAACTGATAGTTCAGGTACTAAACATGTTAAGTTTTTAACGACGGGTACTAAAATAAACAAAAACTAAACGTTAGATATGATTTTGAAAAAAGGCTTACCCAAATAAGTGCCCAAACTATACTTTTTCCCGAATAGGTACCTACATTATTTTTTGGACTATTTAGGTGCCTAACATTACAAACTTGACCACTTTAGATGCTATGGACGTAACAGTCGTTAGTTTTCTTCGTTAGGTGACACGTTCCGCAATCTAGTAATTTTGAAATTTGTTTTTTAAAAAAATATTAAAAATATTATTATATTTATAAAAACCCTAATTTTTTTAAATTACAAAAAAGCCTCAAAATCTCTAAAATCCCTAAGTCCTAACATTAACCTGCCGCTGTCGCTCTTTCCAACCATGACCACCACTGCCGACGTAGTCTCTGTTATCATCCTAGTTATAAGTTGTCGTAGTTGTCACTGATTGGACATCAGAATCACGTAGGATTGCGATTTTCATCCTAGGGTTCGCATAGTATAAAACGTCAATTCGCCGTTGATCGATCATGATTTCATAGGGTTTTTGGTCGTCAGAGGAGGCGAGGTCAGGTAGAGTTTTGTCGACAGCAAAGGGCGGCGGGCGACATGATTTATGGGTTGAAATAAAGGATTTCAAAGTTTTGGGGTTATTTTAAAATTTGTGTTTTATTTTTTAAAAATATATATAATTTTATTTTTTTAAATTTTAGATAAAAATTTAAAATTATCAGATTGTGACACTTATCACTTAACAGAAGAAATTAACGGCGTTGACGGCGTGAGCACCTAAAGTAGTAACGTTAGGCACCTGGATGGTCCAAAAAATATTGTAGGCACCTATTCTGGAAAAAGGATATAGTTTGGGCATTTATTTGGGTATTAAGCTTTGAAAAAAATGAAAATTTAGGTACCAAAACAGACTAAAACTGATAGTTTAGGTACTAAACGTATAATTTACCCTATTATTTTCCATAAAATAATTGCTTTAGAAAAACTAAGACGGGTTGCGCTAGTGCGGACTTGTGGGAGGCCTAGTAAAGAAGGGCCCAATTCAAAAACCAACCGGCCATCGGCCTCTTTCCCTTCCGCCGCCTTCATTTCCTCTTCTTCTTTGCACCGTGGAAATTTATATTGTAATTTCAAGAGCTGGAAGGTTTTGGTACGTGAAGCTTAGCAAGCCAAACCGCCGCAAAATAGCCGCTGAAAAATCTCAAAGCAATTTCTCTGTTTCTCTTCCGCGACTTTGAACATTGATCGACATGGCGAGTATCATGTTTTCTTTTTTAAATTTATTGTTCTATTTCCTTGTTTTTTTGCTTGAAATTCCTTGGTTCATGAAATGTTAGGTTATGAAATCTGTTGATTTGTCGGCTTCCTTGTTCGGACTGTTTCACATTTTATTCAAATCATTTTCTTTAGAAAAACATAAATAAAATTGAGAACTCAGACGAGTATGCTTGTTGCAGTTTTCCCTCTTTAATTTTAAACCGTTTTTATCTCTTTATAGGATTCCAAATCGGGGCGGAGCACTGTTTTGGCGATTACGGACGATGCAAGTTACGCCGTTACTTCGCTAAATACAATTTGGGATTCTGAGAAAGAAGACCCCAAACGCTTCGACCCTCTAATTGTCATGCAAGCTTCTTCTTTAGGTATTTCTTTGTTACTTATATATTTTTTTTTCATTTTCAGAATATATTTCATTGACGAACTAAAGTAAATATTCCGTGTTATTTTTCATCTACTACAATCTGTTTGTTGTTTAATTTGCTATTATATATATATATATATATATATATATATATATCTTCACCACTCATGGTTGGATGTATGTTTTGTTATTGGGGTTCATCTCAGCTCGGTTGCCACTAGATTCATCGTATGTCAACTTGGTCATTTACATCGCTCGGTCAGCTGAATTTCCTGTTGATGAGTTGTATGCTGAAACCTTTAGAGTTTTGGTGCCTGGTGGAGTGTTGGTGGTTTATGGGAGTTCGCAGTCTGGGACAAATGAGGAAGATAGGGTAAATCTTTGTGGTTTTTGACCTTGATGGACTTGAGGTGTAGTAAGACTACTTATTGCTGTTTCTTGCAGGTAATGTCTGCTATTGAGCGCAGGTTACTATTGGCAGGGTTTTCAGAAGGAAATCGTTTTTACCTAAAATCAGGTGCTCAGTCTTTTGGGGTGAGTTTTTCCTTGTTTATGTGGAGTTTTTTGTTTAGCCTAGTAACTTTATTTTTGTGTAGACTGTAATAATTAGCCATCCTTTTAAGTGTAATCCTTCAAATAGGTGCATGTACCAGGCAACAGTGTTGCGTCATTAAGAAATCTGCTTTGATGTTAGTTATGGCACTACTATTCTAATTTAGTTGATGTATTGCTTGTTATTGTGTTATTTTGTTTATTCTTCTTCCTGCTACTGATGTGTGATGGAGGAATGCAGCTTTAGGTCATATTGTAGCTGTACAGTATACTATATAAAGAAGGCATTTTATCTGAATTCTGTTGTTGATTTCAAGTTAAGCCTTACATTTCTTTGCATGAACATTTTAATGAAGATAACTACTGGCATAATTGCCCATTTCAGGTTAAGGCTAAGAAGCTGTCTTGGAAGATTGGATCTTCTTTTGCTATTAAAAAGAAGATGGTGAAAAATCCATTGAAAATTGAGATGGATGATGATTCAGATCTCATTGACGAAGATTCCCTATTAACTGAAGAGGATTTGAAGAAACCACAATTACCACCTGGTATGATGGCAATACCTGACAAGATCCACAATTATTGGTTTCCATCCTTCATGGGGAAGGCTTTTGGGTATTTATAACATAATTTAAAATGATTGTTTCTTCAGTTGGTGATTGCGAAGTAGGAACCACAAGGAAAGCCTGCAAGAACTGCACATGCGGAAGGGCAGAACAAGAGGAGAAAGTGCAGAAGCTGGAACTGAATATGGATCAATTGAACAATCCTCAATCAGCTTGTGGCAATGTACTCCCATCACTGGTTTCATTTTGTTGATTTATTGTGTTATTATGATAAAATTTGTGATGGTTATTTATACTGTTTTTATTGGTTTGTTTTGCTTTCTACAAGTCTTTTGCTTTTCAGAAATACAAATAGCAAAAGCATCAGTTAAACAAAGTCACAGTTTTCTTGTTTTTAATAAACTTTGGTTTTCCTTGTGCTCTGAAACTACGGGCAGTGTAGACTAAGACTTGTACTGTATTTTTTTTGAATTGTGAACAGTGTGGACTAGGTGATGCATTCCGTTGCAGTACATGCCCGTATAAGGGTCTTCCACCATTCAAGCTGGGTGAGAAGGTATGTCGCCTCATGTTTTGTTTCCTGCTTTAGAAAGAAAAAAAATGCTTGGGACACCATGCTGTTGTGAAAATCACATTTTTTAGCAGTGTATCTTTGAACTAGTATGACAATGGAATGATTTCTTTATCCAGGTATCTCTATCAGGGAACTTTCTTACAGCAGACATATGAATTCAAAGATATGGTTTTGGGGCCGAAACTAAAGGGGTTTTAGATACTTAAAACAGCCTTGTTGAGTTCTTTTCATTGTGTTTTGTCCGTTGTTTATCCACTGGTTTACAATTTAGGTGACGAAATCTAGTTGTATGTGGACGTTGCGACTGCATCGTTTGTGTTTTGCCAAAAAAGGATGTTTCTTTTTATTGGTATGGAATTTTCTGTGAAGGAAGAACTAAGGCTTTGCTTAATAGGTTGAAAAGAAAGAAATCCACAAGGATAGAAAATTAAAGCGATAGAAAAGTTGAATGATGAAAAATGAGAGGAAAAAATCAAGTTATACATACATATTTTTGAAACAAGTCATATTTTTCTTATATTTTCTCTTTTTTCTTTTTAAATTGGAATAATTTGTTTTTACACGAGCATTAAAAATTGATCATCGTTTTTTTTTTTCTTTCTAACTAAGCTCATTTTCATTTTCACTTCCCATTTTTATCAGGGAGAAGAATCTCAAGGAAGAACATACCTTTGCATTTATGATTCGATAACAATATGTTTACACTTGAATACAATTTACATGATTAAATATTTTTAATTTAAATAGAAATTCAAATAAATATTTGTTTAACTAGAATTAATTTATTCAGATAGTGACTGTGACGGTGAATCTTACAGTATATCACCCTTTTTGCACCAAAGATAACAGTAATTGCAATTCTACAATGGTAAACCTTTTCAAAGAACAAGAACATGATGATAAGATAAATCATGAATTTATCTGTCCGAAAGATGTATTGTAAGGGAATAAACATATTTGGTCGGTCGGTATGTTGTTCTAGTGAGTCGCTCTTCTTCTTCTTTTTCTATACAGTCCTCTTTCAAAGAATGATGTTGGTTAAGGGAATCTTTTTACTCCTTTTTCTTTGCTGAATTTATGGCAATGGAGTCCGGAATTTCTAGCTTCCACGTATACATTTCATTAGCCTTCAGCTTAAAAATGGATTAGGCTATTCAAGTCGTCTTTCAGCTTCCTTCAACCCAAAGAAATCACCAAGAAGTATAGTTTTCCCATACATTAATTGATTCTTTAATACAGCTGATCACAATCTGAATAAAATAGAGAAACACCGAAGGCTGACTTTATTTAAAACCCATTATTTTGTAGTGTTCGTAAGCTGGAGTTGTTCACCAAAGAATCTGTTACAAATAAAGTAGGCAAAGTTGGTGAACTAAATAAAGCACAGCTGCCCTCCTTTTATCATCACATTTTCCCCTTTATAAACCAAACCCCTTGTCTTCTCCCCCCCAACCCACTCCATTTTGAGTAATCAGTGGCAGCAAGAAGCATGAACGGAACAATATTCGCAGCAGTGTTTATAGTTGCAGTGTCTTTATGGACCGGAGGAGCTTTGGCACAATCGAGTTCGAGTTGTACCAATGTGCTCATTAGCATGTCCCCATGCTTGAGTTACATACAAGGAAACTCTTCGACTCCATCTTCTTCATGCTGCTCTCAGCTTGCAAGCGTTGTGAGCTCGCAGCCTCTGTGCCTCTGTGAGGTTCTTAACGGCGGTGCCTCATCGTTGGGGATGGATGTTAACCAGACGCAGGCAATGGCTCTCCCAACGGCTTGTAATGTTAAAACTCCACCTGCTAGCCAATGCAATGGTAAACCTAAACTAAGTTCTTTTCCTTCACTATTAGGGATTTAAATTACCATTGCGGTCGCGTTGCGTTCACCGCGATTACGACAATAACATGTGTTATTGCGATTAACACGTGTATTGTGATGGTATAATAACAATTTTGATCTACGCTTTTAATCGTTATATAACGATTGTAATTACCGCTATTTGAACCCTTGATTACTATTATTTTTATTATTAACTTTTCATAATTCAGATTGATTGATTTTAGTTGTCCATCCACAGCTTCTTCTCCCTCTGGGTCTCCTTCAGGAACAAATCCTCCTTCAGGTACAACTTTGAACAGACTTTTAGGTTTATTTTTAGTTTTAGTCCCTCTACTATCTTGAAATTTAAGTTTTAATCTCATTTCTTTTATAGTTAAACTCGATAATGATGTTATTAGTGGTTACCGTTAAGTTGATTGTATAATTTTTTTTAACAACTTTAAACCTTTGATTTATATAAGTTTATTATTAATTAAATACGATTGACTGAATTTTCATGTGATTTGTATAATCGAATGACAATATTATTTCGGACCTACTCATAATATTGTAAAAATAGAAGATTGAATAATGTTAAATTAAAGTATATGTATTAAATCTCAAATTTCAGAGTATTTGATGGACTAAAAGCAGTAATTAGACCAAGTTTTTAAACTTTGGTATTGTATGAATTCGAGTGATTGGTTTTTGTGGATGAAGGCGGTGGTTCTAAGACGGTTCCCACGACGGACGACGGCACATCAGGTGGGCACTCTGCCAAATTGTCGTTTTCAGTGCTCTTTTTATCGCTTTTCATCGCGTCGTCGAGGGCTTTCAGCTTTGTTTCCATCTAAGCAGCTCTTACCATATTCTGTGCTTTCTCTCTGTTGATTTTCATTTTCAATGTGATGTAAAATTATTGGGTGGAATAAATACTTGGGGATTTTGTATTGGTTTTATTACTTTATTTTTCTTCGAATATATCATTTTCATTAAAAAAAAAAGGTCATATATAACTACTGAATTTGTGGGGTTAGTTTTTGTGGTTGTTCCAGTCGCTCTGCTTTCTCCATCTGTACCTTCCTTCTTGGCGTCTTTATTATTGTTCTCTCTTCAGTCATCGATAACAAGTTTTTTGTCAGTGACAAGGCATATATATATATATGAAATTATATTAAAAATTTGTTTAACAAATCCAAACTCATGAGCATAAGTATATTATAAAACAAATTTGTAATTCAAAATTTTTTTATTAAAAAATGTTTGTATAAATCTGCTCCCTAATGTGAAAGTATGTGTTTGTCGTACCCCATCACGAGAAAGTGTCACATCTCACATTTATTTTATATGCAAGCGGGCGCGTTGTACATCTTATTTGATATTTCTCATCTTATATAATATATCTTTATCTTTTGAGTGTCTTAACGAAGGATGTACGTAAGGTAGATCAATTTTGATTGTTCGATTTCATATCGAGCGCTCCGATGTATGAGGTGGGGAAGATAAACCAACCATAATAATTGTTTGTGACAAGGGTGTTACGAGTTTGGATAAAATAAAATATCATGACGTTCTAATGAGAGAGTTAGGGTTTAAATTATGTTTATATTTAAAATTAAATTTTTAATTAATCCTGTAATGATGAACTATATAATTAATACAATTCAAACTTTAAAAAAATGGACCTAGTATTAGGCCCCAAATAATATATATGGGTCAGGCCTTATGGATTCTTAATGATTGCTGAATGCTGAATTTTTCCAAGAGGTCAATTGTGTTTCTCCTTTGTAAGGTTTAGATTTATAATCCATCCGTCAAATCGGAACAACTCTGTTTCATGACCACCTAATAACAAATAGTTCTGGTGTACATCGAATTGTTTTTTCATGATTCAATAATTAAAAGTCTGATCAATCTTACATATTAAATCAACAGATAAATACAACAAGCATGTGATAATTTGAGCCAAAGTATTATATCTTCTCTTATATGTGAATGGTCAGGTAGCTCTTAGACATTTGAAGCATATAATGCTTTGAGGACAAAAGGAAGGACCTCTTACTCTCACGCTATCACGCCTCTTTTTAACGTTCTTCAATTGAGAAATGAAAAAGAATCTTTAAGAAAAATTGTGCATTCAAAACAAAGAAAACCTAAATGACACAGTGACTACATACATGATTAATACACAAATTTCTGATTTCTGAGAGGTAGATAATGAATTGTTCACCGTCAAACACATGAAATGGAGAAGATTTATTTTCTCTCTTGAACTCGTTTGGGTCCCCAAAGAAATGGAGAAGATTTCATGGACTTCGATCCAGAGAACGATGGGGGTCGAGCTTCCATCTTGTCAAATGATGCTTCACATTTATCACTCTGCAAGTAGACATGTTTCTATGTTTTTGCACGTCCCGTACATGCCCAAACCTCATTATTATTAAATTCCCGTTTCAATTTTACTGCTGCTAATGCTATAACTGCACCTTATGGGTTTATTGTAATATTAAATGAAAATGTAGGGGGAGGACATACATGTTTCGGTAAATGATCTGTTTGCCATGCTTCGGTATAATGTGTACAAAGGATTCAATCAATTGTTAACTGTCACCTCTGTTTCGAAACTTATGTTTGTTCAACGCAATAACAATTTCAAATGAAAGTGAAATACAAATATTTGTTAACTGTCACCTCTGTTTGGAAACTTATTTGCGTTCAACGCAATAACAAATTCAAACGAAACTGAAATACAATTTTTTGTTAAATTGAATGATAAAAAGTTGGATATTATTTGAGTAAAAAATAATTAGGTTTAATCACCGATATTCGGTCTATTGATTGACTATTTTAGATTAAGTTTTGTAGAGATGGGACGACTCACTCAACCAATTTACTCTTTTCACAAACATTAATATTCAAAATTCTAATCTTATTTAAGAGAATAAAATTTTGAAATAAAATATTTCAGATGAAGAAAATTATGCTAAGAGAATATATCTCGTGTTATAATTCAATCTGATTTGATTATGAATGTTGTGAGATTTTAATGCGACTATTGGGCATTACAAAATTTTAAAAAAAGATTTGCAACATTTATTTATTGTGTCTGTGAGGATAGCACTAAAATGTAGAGTGAGGCATAGAAATTTTCTTTGGATACCCTGTAAATATACAGGACTTGTCTGGTATGTATGGTAGGCACATTTAACATTATAAAAGTAAGAAGGATTAGGATCCTAATTTCCCCCCTAAACCATTCAAGAAAGGTAAACCGGAGCCGAGGTTGACACTTCCCGTATCCCGATATGAACACGTGCAACGACAGCCCATACACGTAAGAATCTCACTGCCGAATAAAAATAAATATTTCAGTAAAAACATAAAAACTATTTTTTTTAAAAAAAGAACTCCATGCGTTACTGCGCATATATTATATGGTATATAATAAACTAAGCTCCACCAAAGGCCAACCATCTTATTCCTCTCCTCAACTCGCTTGCTCACTCACTCCCTCCCTCCCTGTTTTCAACTTTCTCTCAACGCCCCAATTATAAAAAAACCCTCCTCTCAACTTTCACTCGCAATAGGGAAAGGAAACAGAGAATAAAACAGCATACGAAGGTTTATATTTTTGCTTATCGCCACCGTTAATGCTTATCAGCAGGACAGCGTGAGCCGAGCCAATTCTCCCCCTTTGAGGCTTTGAAGAAAATCAAAAGAAAAAGAAAATTGTTTTCGCGCGAAGAGGAAACGCCTAAAATGGAGCTTAGTAAGGTAACTTTGGAGATCTTCACCAAACTGGAGCAGAAATGGTTAGCTCACTATGAAACCACCAAGAAGATTCGGATCCTCAGCATTGACGGCGGTGGAACCACCGGCATTGTAGCTGGTGCCGCTCTTATCCAGCTTGAAGACCAGATCCGCCTCAAAACCAGTGATGCTCATGCTCAAATTGCCGATTTCTTCGATGTGATCGCCGGCACCGGGGTCGGTGCTATTCTTGCTGCCTTGATCTCTGCCGATGATGGAACCGGACATCCTCTCTTCACTGCTAGGGGAGCTGTTGATATCATCACTCAGAATAACTCCGAACTCTTTAAAGTTAACAAGCTAGCCGGATTTCTTTTCCGTCGGAAGATTTTCAACGGTAAGAGCATGGATAAGGCGCTGAAGGAATTGTTTAAGAGAGAAGACGGAACGGTTTTGACTCTCAAGGACACGTGTAAGCCTCTACTTGTTCCATGCTTTGACCTCAAGAGTTCCGCTCCTTTCGTTTTCTCTCGCGCCGACGCTTCCGAATCACCTAGCTTCAACTTCGAGCTTTGGAAAGTATGCCGCGCCACGTCAGCCACTCCTGGCCTCTTCAAACCTTTTCCATTGACATCTGTAGACGGCAAGACCTCATGCTCCGTCGTGGACGGCGGTTTGGTCATGAACAACCCTACTGCAGCGGCGTTCACTCATGTTCTCCATAACAAGAGAGATTTCCCTTCGGTTAACGGCGTAGAGGATCTGCTGGTTTTGTCGTTAGGCAACGGTCCGTCGTGCGTAAGGTCAAAGGTCAGTATCAATGGTGAATGCTCAACTTCTTCCGTCGTTAACATTGCGCTTGACGGAGTCTCGGAGACGGTGGACCAGATGTTGGCGAACGCTTTCTGTTGGAACCGTACAGACTACGTTAGAATTCAGGTATGCACTGTCATTACATTTTTTTTCCTTTTACTCCTATGAATGCTCTGTTTGGTTCCTAAGAAAAAAAATTAATCCGTTGCTAAATCAGTTTGACTGGCTTAAAGTGATTCCTTCAAATAAATTTCCTCTAATTTCTCAGTAGCCAAACAGATTTAAAATTGTCATTTATTTGTGAAATTTGCAGGCAAACGGAGACGGGCGCGAAAAGATGGTGGGGCCGAAAATGGAGGAGGTACTGAAGGAAAGAGGGGTAGAGTCGTTACCGTTTGGCGGGAAACGGTTACTGACGGAGAATAACGGACAGAGAATTGAGGGGTTTGTTCAACGCCTTGTTGCCACCGGCAAAACCAGCCTTCCTCCAAGTCCCTGCAAGGAATCAGCTGTTCTCCCACTTGCTAACGGCCGTTAGCTACTTTTTTCAATTACTTTTCAGTCCTTTTGTTTTTGTTTTTTTCTAAACTTTTGACCCCTTGTAAGTTGTAACAAACTCCTTTTACTTTTAACTGTTCCCTACTTTCAAGTAAAAATAGCTAATTAGTCAAATCAAATGTCTCAGTTGCGGATGAATTAATTAACTAGCATTCCTAAGTTAATGTGAATTAAATGACACGTCATTATTATTAGCAACATAACGTATTATTATGCTTTTTAAGTCAAATTATCAGTTTTTGTGCATTTAAACCTTTAATTCTCAACTTATCAACGGAGTACCTGGTTGTTATTAGTTTGGAGCGTTTTCCCAATATATACATTGAATAGCAAAAATTATATATTATATATATGATGATATCATTCAATATATAATATTTGACAACTTTCACCTTTGTCAGTATCGTGTGTTACATTTTTATGCAAGCTGCATAATTAAAATATAATAATAATATGCATAATATCAAAGTTAATCTCTATTTTTATTAAAATTATCATTTTGTTTTATTCTATTTTTTAGAGTATTTTAACCTTCAACGTTCTAGTTTAGAATAAAAAGGTCATAACATTTGATAGAATAATCATTTTGTCTATATTTTTTGTATTCTAGCTCTTAACATTTTATTTTAAGTTAAAAATACTCCTATTTTGGAGCATCCATCATGTGTTTACTAATAATTTCATCTATAGATGAAGCATTTTGCACCAAAGTGATATTGGGTGTCAAAATGATCTAAAAAAAATATGAACCAAAATAACTATATTAATAAACATCCGAGACTATTTTTAACGTTATGTCA